TCCCAACCGACTGGAGCCGCTCCGTCATAGTCCCAATTTTCAAAGGAGGCTCACGATCGGAATGCGGCAGCCATAGAGGAATCAGTCTGATCTCCATCGCCTCCAAATTGCTTGCCTCTGTCATCCTTCACAGACTGACTGGCACTCGTGAAAGCCAGATTCGCGAAGAGCAAGCTGGATTTCGTCGAGGTCGTAGCTGCATTGACCACATCTTCACTTTGCGTCAGTTGTTGGAGCACCGTCACATATATTGGCGGCCCACCGTTGTCGCGTTCCTCGATATCAAAGGTGCATTCGATTCGGTGGATAGACATGCACTTTGGGACTGTCTACTCAGGAAAGGTGTACCTGAGAAATATGTGAATATTATCCGAGCATTATATGCGCGTAGCTCGGGCAGAGTAAGGGCTTACGGCAAGTTGTCGTCGCCCTTTAATATCTCTAGCGGCGTGAGACAAGGATGCCCGCTCTCACCTTTCCTCTTCAACTTCGCTGTTGACGAAGTCATGGAAATCGCGTTCACAGGACACGACTTAGAAGGTGCGGAGCTACAAAGAAGAGAACGACTTCATGATTTAGAGTATGCTGATGATATTGCCCTCATCTGTGACAGCTCAAAAATGTGCCAAGCGGCACTAGACAGATTAGCACTAGCTGTCCGTCCCTTCGGGCATTGCTTCGCACCCTCGAAGTGCAAAGCGTTTCTCCAAGATTAGTCTGGACCCCCTCCTTCGCTGACCCTTGGTGGGGATCAGCTAGAAGTCGTTCAAAAATTCAACTACCTGGGAAGTTGTATCAGCGCCCGTGGGATTGAAGATGAGATCACGAACCGTATAACAAAAGCTCGGGGCGTTTTTGCTAACACCTTCGCCACTTATGGCGCCGGCGCGACATCACTCTTGCCCTGAAGGGTAGAGTGTACAATGCGGCAGTACGTTCGACCCTACTGTACGGTTGTGAAACCTGGCCGCTTAAAGCAGCGGACCTGAAGAGGCTAGTTACGTTCGACCACCGGTGCCTTCGTAATTTAGCTCACATCTGGTGGGAACACCGCGTGAGCAACGAGCGTGTTCGACGCATTGTTTATGGCACAGGAAAAGGAAATGAACCGCTCTGCACCGTTACTTCACGCATCAGGCTCCGATGGCTCGGCCACATGTTACGCATGCCAGCCCACCGACTCCCGCGACGTGTATTGTTTGCGCGCCCGGGGTGTGGATGGAAGAAGAGGAGGGTTGGCCAAGCGATGACTTGGTCGAGAGGAATGAAGGCCCTCACTTCTGGGCTGGCCTCGGTTGGAGCGTCTCGGCTCCCTAGTTGGGGTCCAAAGGACGATGAACACGTTTGGTTGGACACTTGCTGATATGGCTAGGAGCCGACCTCAGTGGCGTTCGTGCTGTGAGTTTCTTTGTCCCACCCCATCCCTCTTAGCCCCCCCCCTCCAACCACGATCTCATTATTTAGCCTTATATAATGTTCCATCATATTTTTTTCTTTTTGGGTGCACAGCAGCCGGCTGGTAGCTTACCGGAACGATGCCCATCCGTTACCGGTAGCTCAGCCAGCTTGCACCAGTTGCTTTTTTCCTTTATTTCTATGTATGCGGCACAGAAGCTGAGGTGTTCCCCACCTCTAACTAACGTGTATGATGATGATGATGATTATGATTATGAAGGAGGATACCCGCACAGTCTATAATGGTCTCAGTGCCAACTGCTCCTGCTTCCTCCATTTTTGAGCACTACTGATCCACCAGCCTTCCGTGTCAGCAAGCAAGCTCCGCTTTAGATCCCACCTAATAGTCCGCCTAGTTACATTGTCCTCAGAGTCAGCCGGGAGTTTTCTTCTGGATTCCAACAGGTTCACCGACCTCTCGAATATCCAGTGACTGACGAGGTGACGTTTGATAGTACAAAAAGTGGATGCTCCTGCGCTGTGCATGATGGTATGGATCTTATTCCACTGAAGCCCATTGTCATCAGGACAAAAGAGCGGTACGCAGAGCATCCTGGTAGGCTGGTGAGACCGAGGGCTGAAACAACATCCCAGCTGCCAACCGAGGAAGACGCTTGGTACGCCTCCCGGTAAAGATAATATACATAAGCTACAGCGTAACAAGGCGTAATCCAAGTCGAAGCAAGTATTCCGGAACCAGCGACAATCAAAGATGGAACCACACCACCTGTAACTTATGGCAACGTCGGGTCCATCGCTGGCCAGCTACAGCTGGTCGCCATGTAGCACTTCGGCGCTCACTGTGTATAAAAGCGGTGCAAATAAGAAACAGCTGGTGCTCCGCACACCGCCGTAACAGACGCTTGTCGTCGTCCGTACGGTCGGAGTTAAGTCCATATCTAGATGAGCTCCTAAAGAGCTCAGACGACGTACTTGCACATTCATACACCCTGCAAAAACTATGATATCTGAACTGATAGCACAGCGTAGTAACGTGTTCAGTTCGTGGTAGGTGACCTTAACAACATCAGAACTGCGGTCGGTTAGGGCATAATCGGAAAACAACAACAACAACAACAACAACAACAACAACAACGTTTAGTACTGCCTCGTGAGTCAACTGAAGTCGATGACATCAAACGGACTGCACACAAACGACTATTCCCGGGTATCCACTCAACCAACGATGGCTCAGCCTCGAAACTGAGAGCGATGCCCACCACAGCTCGACCAGAGGCTGCCACGTCAGCATCTCCGGATGCCTGCAATCAATGGCGAGAGGACGAGTCGGGTGCAGTTCATTCAATTACTCCGGGAGGTTCAATGAGCCTAGTTTCGGACACACAACACAACAATGCCAAGTGTGGCCAACATGCGTGCGAGTGTAGCCTGTTGACCCATTAGCTTTAGAGCGCGAACGTTGAACGCCGCCAACGAAACGGTGCAGCGTGGTCTTATAAGGGGCTGTTGACGATTAGCGTCCAGTGGGTGGTGCGCGAAGGTATTTTCCGATAATATGACTCCAGTGGTATTGTGGCTGCTGTCAATTAAGCTGGGAAAGAAGGGAGGCGCCAGCAGCAGCACGTTGTCGTCACGTACACTGAAAAACCATGGAAAATTAGTAAGAGATCTGAAAGTTAAGAAGAGCGAGTAAAAAAGAAGAAAAGGGGATAAAGCAGTGGATCGTTTTCGAATACCCGACATACGTAATGCAGTGAAGAAAGCAACAGACGTACGATGATACTGAGGTTTGTCGGAACAGCCATAGCTTGTATGAATTTGGATATAAAAATGTATCGCTATTTTTGTATCTCGTGTCGACGTTTCGCTACCACGCAACCACTATCGACTGTACGCGGGCTAAAGTACGGAAAAGCCGTCCGCCGCTTCGCGGCCTCGAAGCAGCGAGCTATGGATTAAAAGCCAGCTACTTGAACCACTCCGTCACCGGTCGGCCGGCTTAACTACTGTTAGATCAACAAAAGTGTCAGCTAGAATATCTGATGAGCAGCAAGCCGCACAGACACTTCGTTGCCAAGGGACCTCCAACGGTTGCGCTTGGGCTGGGTGCACCGCGAGACCATCCACAGCGAGGCGGATTCGAACCGGTGACCTGCGGATTACAGAGCAAACGGGTAATCATTTCGGCCATCGGCCGACTAAAACATCGTGCTGACGACCGGTTTTGTACTTGTTTGTGATAGCAAGCAGTCTAAGCCAGGATTTTTGCGATAACAGCCGGAACGTCTACTCCTGCGACAAGGCAGACGAAATTAGCCGGCGGTCCACAAAATGTATCGTTTTCCCGGAAATGCGTGCATTTCATCTTTAATTCGCTACCTGGGAGACTAGAAGACGGAGTTTGTCTGGCTGCTAAGCCACTGATTAGTTCAATATACCTAAGGATACAGAAGGAACCTTCCAGTGCAGCACAACGGGCAGAAAACGTACGCAAACCGTCATGCTAATCCATTGTGACTGTGACCGCAATCCGTGCAGCGGTATTTTGAATCTGGTTGTTGAAACGAAATGATGAGGAACGAGGTGTAAACAGACATAAAGGGCCGAAGAGGAGCTAGCATTTCCGGATGTAAACAGCCAGGAGGGAGAGATCGCAAGTAAAAACGCAGAATTGGCTAGGAATCTTAACAACTGGAGTGGCTGACAGCATCATCACCACTGTAGCGACGGTACGTGAGGGGAAAACTGAACCAGCAAATTCTCGTAACACTAGTTGAATAGACTTAAAACGTATTAAAAAAGCGTCATGTAGAAACGTTATAGTGTAACAATTTACATATCGGCATTGCCAATAATGAAACACATTGACCTTGACCTTCCTAATGGTGCAAAGCGAAATTATCTGAAACCTAAAAATGCGGACAAATGTGAAATTCTGCGCGGATGAATTTTGGTATAAGAATATCATGTCCTCAAACAGACAACACAGTCCGAGAAAAAATATTTTACGATCAATATTATTCTACACGCTAGCTAAAGGTGAGAAACATCTTGACTATTGTGCCGCAAATGTGTCTGACTTTGAGACCCACATTTAGCACAAAACGAAACGCGTCAACCTAACCCAATCCCTTCCATTAATTTCCGCAAATTCTTCTACGTGTTGTTGAATGGCTTTCAGGGCACTTCGCTAAGGGAGGCGTAGCAACAATAGAATAATCGTCGAGAAAGGCAATGAGCATATCAGTAAATTTTTCCATGAAAATGCCTTCAATCCATTCCAGCTCATCTCTACAGTACAAAGAGATTGGGATAAAAAGCCTGGTTAAATATCCCATGAGGAAAAACAAAAGTGGAATCCAATCAAAGTACGATTTGTACTATGGCAATTTTGGGTATAACACTGGGCAATTATGGGAAAGCTGCCACGGGGCTCTTTGTAATTTGGATCTGTGTCTAAACTATCCGCCGTTCAAGCAGTAAATAAACCGTTGGCCCACTGGTGACACAACGCCCCAAAGTAATTCAGTGATCACAGAGATAAATACTGTAGAGGTGCAAACTAGAGAATTCGTATGACTTACCCATGTTGGGCACGTTAAGGAAGGCTCGTGACACATTATAGGCGCGCTGGAGACACTCGACTGTCTGTATGCCCATAAACCCGATGCGATCGAGAGCAGCGCAGGTGCGCTGTACCTGTTCGATACACGGAGAGAATGAACAAAAGCGCCCACCTGGGAATGTGAAAAGAGGTTTTAGACTTAGTTTCAAGTGAACTGTGTTGAACAAGTAAACAAGTTTACTAACAGATTTCCTTAGTGCCAACAACATTGGGTTGCACATGCACATTTGGGCTTGTGGTGATTACAACATCTTGTGTCCCACAAACTAGGGAAAGTAACCAGATATTCTTGAAGGTTTCGTGGCTTGATAAGAAATAGTGTGTTACAAACAGCTGCGGTCATCCTCGTTTCGGGAAATCACGCCCACCAGACCGTATGTAGAGCCAGAAAAGGCGATGCGACACGTGAGTAGACAGATTTGAGGATGTGTACACATCAATAGGATTCGCTGACGTGATAGAAAGAACGTCCGGTTCTGAGGGGGTTAGTACACAGCGCCTAAATCAGCCGCATAACTTTGATAAGGTAACCGACAATCGACATGAGATGATGTTAGCGACCTTTGCTCTTCACGAGCCGTACAGGCTAGGTTCTAGCAAACGAACTACCTGAGGCCACTCTGGTTTCGGACCGGCGATTCCAAGCACAAACAGCATGGCTATTTAAGATTCAAGTATGAAGAAGCTGTGTTGGAAAATAATTACCATAACCAGCATAACTATACAAACTCGGGTGTTAGCCGTACGCACCTTTATCGATACTGAAAACAAAAGGCAGGTGGGGAACGACGAGCCACGGTTGCGGTAAATCTAGCGTGACAGCATCCACGCCAAATGGATTGTCTTCTTCCCCAATGTTAGGGAATCCGTCAGCAATAACATCACGATGAACGACGTGAATGAGTTCGGATAAGCAGTGTGACTGAGCAAGGAAAAAACGGAGTCGCGTGCGGTTAATCCAACAGCTATTGTGAAGATTCGATTTTTTTACCGGTTGGCCAAAATTGGGAGGATCCGGCACAAAATACCAAAACAACATATCATAATGCTAGAAAATGGACAAGTACACCCGATGCAGTCCGAGAGAAAGCCATTGTTCAGATTAGTTCTTTAGGAAACCCCAACACATATACTCAAAAGATGCAATAGCAACACATGCAGACAAAAATCGGTTGGTAGCGTGAAGAGAATATCCATGAAACAAGTTCGTGTGGCCCATTTGTAACATGCATCGAACTGCCCGGCTAATCAGGTAGGAAGATCAGTCCAAATTGTAAACATTAGCTTCGTCACAGGAAATATCAACTCCCAAAAATCTTGTCAAGTGCCACAAAATTACAAGTACGCAAATGCAATCAAAAAGGTATGCATATGTCGAGACATAATTGGCATAGAAACCAGGAAGCGCGACTCACAAGACCAGTGGCCGAGGTATCTCCGACAAGTCCCGGAACCGCCCATCACTAATACAACGGAAAAACCCTAGCAACGACGTGAGTCCCGTCTCATTCAGCATTTTTTCGTACATCTCCATTCAAATATGGTTGTAGAGCCTGATGAAAACTTGGTAATGCAGTATTGCGAACACAACATGCTGAGTTCTCAGAGAGAAACGAGCGAAAGGGCCGAAAGAATGAGCTAACTTAACAACCTCCAATAAGCCGTGAAACTGAACAGGTGAATGGTTAACATCTAAATTTAAATGGCAGATAGGAAATGGAAAGGGCAGAAAGATGTAAAATTTGAAGAGCCCGACGATAAATAAAACTAAGGCGATCGGTAGTAAGTGGTAGGTCATGACGTCAAATTAAAGTAACACTAGCAGCCTTGTACACAGTGCCCGATGGCTAATCTAATAAGTACACTCACTTAATGGAAAAAGCAATCTGCTAGAATGTGATTATGCCAAAAAGCGGACCACAGAAAGAAAAGCAAAGACACTTCTGAAAGACATATGAAACACAGGGGATATCTACGCCCTAATCGCTTTCATTCCTCCAGTAAACAACGTTGACCCGGGAATAGAAGAAAGGTAAATCCGGGTGTCATTATTGGCGTGGCCATGGTGGCAAAAGATTGGCAAAAGTGAGGGAAAGGAGAGGGTTGTAAAATGTCAAAATAAAATGAGTCGAAGTCATACGTCTTAGCGACTATAATGGGCTGGAAGACGCCTTCAGTAACCGAGGAAGTTGGTCCTGCGGTTTCCAACCAAACAATCTGGCAAAAGGCTTATTTAATATTCTTAAACACCGATCGAGGTAGGGAAATGCCATTCAGTACACCAATCTTGATTCGCGAACCGAAGTGCGGTGGATCCAGCTACCGTCACAATGATGTCAGGTATCACAACACATTAGCTAAAGGCGAGAAAACCGCACTATGGTGCCGTGATACCAAAATATACGAAAAAGCGAGATAATAAACATTATAGATTACAAAAACAAGTAACAAACTGCTTATTAACACATGGTGGTTGCGCGGCAGCGAAGCGTCGGTACGCAGTATCGACGTACTGCTGATGCCTTTTTCCTTACTTTCTGGTAACACATTATCCTTCAAGAATGAGATCCTGTTTGAAAACGAAAGATACTTGGGATGGGGAGAGACAAAGAAAGTCAACATAAACATCACTGAGGTCGGCTCCTAGCCATATCAGCAAGTGTGTCCAACCAAACGTGTTCATTGTCCTTAGGACCACAACTAGACAGTCGGAATGCACCAACCGACGCCAACCTCGAAGCGAGGGTTTTTATTTCTCTCGACCAAGTCATCCCTTGGCCTCCCCTCCTATTCTTCCATCCACACCCCCAGCGTGCAAACTACGAACGTCGCGGGAGTCGGTGTGTTGGTATGTGCAACACGTAGTCCAGCCATCGAAACCTGGTGAGTGAAATGACGGTACTGAGTGATCTACTCGCACTTTCTGTACTAAGTACACGACGCCGAACACGATCATTGCACACGCTGTGCTCCAGTCAGACATGAGCTAAGCTGTGAAGGCAGCCTCTTTACGTCGGTCGACTTGATGGGCCGGGTTTCACAACCGTATACGAGGGTTAAACGGACGGCTGCATTGTAAACTCGGCACTTCAGGGCGATAGTGATGTCGCGCCGACGCCACAGGTGGCGGAGATTGGCAAAAGCACTCCGAGCTGTTGCTATACGGTTCGCAACATCATATTGCATTCCATTGGAGCTGACATAGCTGCCTGGATACTTGAATATATTGACGACTTCTTGTTGATCACCACCAAGCGTTTGCGCATGTGTGGGTCCTTACCAATCTTGGAGAAAGGCTTCGCAGTTCGACGGTGCAAAGCATACCTCGAAAGGACTGACAGCCAATGCTTATTGGTACAGTGCTACTTCGCACATTTGGTAACGTCACAGATAAGGGTAACGTCGTCGGTGCAGTCCAAACCAAGAAGTCGGCCACCTGGGAGCAGCGCCACACCTTGCAGGTCGTATTCAGTGAACGCAATCTTCATGAATTTGTCGATGGAGAAAATAAAAAGTAAAGGTGACATCGTGCGTTCTTGGCTCACAGCGCTGCAGATATTGAAGGGCGGCGACAGCTTGACGTAGGCTTTCACTCTGTCCAAATTATGCGCATAAAGCGCTCTGATAGTGTTTACATATTTTTCGCTCACACGTTTCCCGAGTAGATAGTCCCAAAGGGCACATGGATCCACTGAATCGAAAGTAACTTTGAGGTTGAGGAACACGATCATGGTGGCTCGCCGATAAATATGGCGGTGCTACTCACGAATTTGGCTTTCGCGAGTGCCATTAAGTCTATGAAGAACGATAGAGGCGAGCATCTTAAGGGCAATTGAAATCAGACTATGACTGTCACATTCCGAACGTGGGCTCCCTTTGAAAATTGGGACTATAATGGAACGGCCCTAGTTTGTCGGGAAAATTCCCTGCTCCCGCAGCTTCACAAGTAAATTGTGTAGATCGTCTACAAGAGCAGGTCCCCCGAATTTGAAGAGAGACGAAGTCCATCTGATCCTGCGGCCTTGTTTAACTTCAAGAGACTGATCCCTTGTTCGACGTCTGCGCGAGAAGGCGGGTCTACTGAGACGGCGCAGGGCGACCATTAGCCGATCGAGAAGCTGGTAACTCTGGTTGATTAAGCTGCTTTGTAAAGTGTGTTCAGCCCAACGCTCTAAGAGTTTTGACAAACTGTGTATTGGCCATTCACCCTCGTCACGTATGATCGCGCTAGCACCAGCTCTCCTGCCCGTTTCACTTATTAGGCGGAATAAGTTCCCATGGTTACCAAGGCTACCGGTCATTTCTATCTCCGATGCATGATAAGACCACCACGCTTAGCGGTCTCGCTTCAGGATAGCACGCAGTTCCATCCTGAAGTCTCTGTGAGTCTTGTTGTGTTCACTCAAAGTCAGAATGTGTCGGCGAGCATTCACAAATTCCAGAGACTTATAGTGACCCAAGGTCTAGGGTGGCAATTTGATTTGTCACATGAAGACATGCCAGTTGCTAAAAACGTCTGGTGAATTTGCGACAAGTGGCCCTCCACTATGTTCAAAGAATGCTCACTCAGGTCGGATGCCTACGCACTGACACGCATTCAGAACATCTGGCTTCACCAGCAGGCAGATATCTATGCGCTCACAGCGTCGCCGCATGCGCCCACTGAGGTGCAGCCTTTCCAGCGGTAGCTGATCGCGATGTGATTGACTTGCGTCCATAGCTGGTCTGAGGCTGGTAGGCACCATGTCACCAGCTGCTGGGTGCTGCGTCGGAAGTTAGTGACCCCAGTGTCGCTTGTGGGGACTCGCAAGGTGATCACAGAACTTGAGTCATGTAGGCGAGTTTCCAATAAACAACAGATAGCAATCGATAGGATCCGCAGTATTCGGACAAGTGCTGTCAGTTAGCCTATCTGCAATAAATTGTTGCTATGATCTGCCGCTTGGCATCCTATTCCGACGGAACTAAATAAGTTCTCTGCCAGCTCCGAATCCCAGCCGAAAATCAGAAGTTAAAGCTTGGAGGCAAAAGCACGTAGCAGAATCAACTACCAGAACGGACACAGGCACGGTAGAAACTAGTGTATATGTATAAGCCAAATCAGGAATGTTCGGGTTCAAAACAGCTAGGTCAGCTGCTCTGATTCAGTTCCTCTAGCCAATGGGTAGGTACGTGCGTCGTGTACACGGTGATGTTTCTGATGCGAACATTTATGTAGCCTCTTGATGATTCTTTTGCACATCAGTGGTTCAAATCGTTTTCCTACTGAAATGATGAGTTTTCCTGGGAGATTTAACTCTCCCCTCTTGTGATCGCGGCTGCGGTGTAGGATGATGATCTTGAATTGACTTGCAGTCTTGAAGACGGTGTTATCCCTCTGCCCATCCATCACCTGGTTTGAAATGACTTTGGAGTGGGCTCTGGGCTATCGGATTCATTCGGTTGACTGTGGCCCTTCCTCTCTGGTTTCGGTAAGGTGAAGTGAGCCACAAAGAGGTCGAAAGGCAACTCAACTGGCTTTTTCGTTTCTGGCCGGCACAGCGTTGGGCGTAGCTGATATGCATGTCCGACCCAGGTTTGAGATCCAATGAGTATATCGTAAATGACGTCCCCACATTTACATTTGATTTCACCTAGAGTCCATGCTGTATGACTTTTTTGGTCATCGCGCGCGAGCACTCGAGAAAGCGGCAAAGACTGACAGGGAATCTGCGACGGTATTTTTGTCCTTCTTCTTGGAACGGAACGGATTTATGTTCACTGGTTGAGATTACTTGCAGAGTTCTTCGTTGTGGCCCTGTTTATCGCATTTTTTGCAAATGTGCTTCTTGAATGGGCAGAATCGGGCGAAATGCCACTCACCACATGACCAAAAGGTAGCAGGCGATCTGCTTCGTGAGTTCTTAGCGGAAATGTCAGCCT